CCCCTTAATCCTTGCAAAATGCCGAATGTTAACCTCGAATAACTTTAATGAATCCAAATTACGTGCAATAAAAGTAGATGGTGCAGAAAAACTTTGCGTTGTCGCAAAATGAAAGTAACGTAAGAGGGGAAAAAAGATAGATGTTTGCACCTGTACTTCTACAAGTGCCTTACTCAGAAACCACATGGTAACTGTATCTAAGTGAAATGACTACACCAAATTTCTACACTTTGTGTCCAAACTTATTGACAAAGGAAGGAATCAATGGAATTCTCTCGCATTGCTAAACTAATTTGAATCAAGGATGCGCATACTCTCTGCGATGATTTATCAACTGGTACGCAAAGTACTTGCACAGTTCAAAGAGTAAAAGCCATAAAACGCTTTTCGCCCTATCCAAAAAAAAAATTGTTTGAGCCGCCTCTGCTAGCGGTTCCAAATTAGTCCTCAGGCCAATTTCTTGCCAGCTTTAGCTCCAGTTACTCACAAATATATTTTGCACACATTTTATAGGTATAACAAATTTATTAATCAAATGTTCGTCTCCGAAATATGTAACCTTGCAGGGAAAAACAAACAACGCACTTAGTTTTTCATCTTAAGAGCTGTTCGCATTAACTGTATAAATGGTTCTACTTAAAACATTTTAGTAAGCATTATTGTAAAAATTGTATTTGTTAGGTGTCAAGCTAAGAGACCTCGGAGCCTTTACGGCAGGCTTTTTGCTTGCAGACAATTCAATTTTACCTCAAAGAAGCAAAAAAAACGACAAACTTACACTTTCTACACTTTAGAAAACAATGATTTCGATAAAACGGTTGTCATGGTTCTCATCATCTTTCTCGCTGTGTCGATATCAATCAACATAGTCTACGTCTTCATCTCCTCCTGCAAGAAAGAAAGTAAGTTCTATGCCCCCTTAAAGGCTTTCCAAAACAAAAATTATTCGCCCTCGGGCTGGTAGAATTTTCTGATGGAATGCTTGACTTTGCTTCTTTGAGAATTGATATCCGAAGTGCAGTTATGTGGACTGAAAGACAACACCACCACAACGCCCTCAACACCAATTGTCATAACTCACGAAGACCAGATGTCCGGAGCTTCGACTTGGAAGAATTTTCGAGCCCTCGCAATCCCTCCATCTGCCGTTCCTCCTCCCTTTCCCCCTCACCAGCTTCAATCGCCTGCATTCCTTCATCCCAATGACGAGGAGCACGCCACTTCAAACGACATCAGCAGCGATGGCCTCTATGTTTTGCATTCAAATTCGTTACAGGTGAGTAGTGGCAGCACCAGACACATCAATTCATCCATAACATAGCCGAAAAAAATGTAGAGAAGCTAGAAAGCTGGCATAACAATGGTAGGCAACACATCTACACTGACTCGTAAGGTAGTTTACATCGTTTCTAGCCACATACCTACCTTTTTCAGGCATCAACAGCTCCACAGTCCATTGGACTCATAACTCATCAATCTGAGTCGCCTCCACCACAGCGGTTGGCCAATTGTCCACCTTCTGCTCGACCGTACAAAACTATTATTCTTCGACCTGTGAGAACCCACAGCCTCTCACCCCTTCCTCCCTTAACAACAACAACGACAACAACAACAAAGGCAAGACAAAGCCGTTGTCTCCTGCTTACGAGCACAACTTCCAACAATGAGAACCACAACAGTAGCAGCAACAGTCAGCATTTCCATTCCAACTCTCCATGCTCATCCTCATCTAACTGTACAGAAAACTGTGCCTTTGTTTAAAAAAAAGTACATGTTTGCCCAAAACAATACTTTGTACAAAAGATTAAAATTTGCCCAAAATAAGGACCCCGTGATCACCGTGAATTATTGTCGATGTGGGACCCAGAATCGTGCCGTCGAGTTAGTCTGCCCGATCGAGATGATGAATTCACATTCTCCTTATTCTCATCAACACCTGCCTCAACGATCAATGTGGAAGTCTTCGACATGCGGTCGTGGTACGAAACCGGAGGTTCGCATCTACGCTGTCGTGATGGTGGTCTGGACAGAGATCGCGTAGACGCGGTGGTATTGCGTCGACGTCGACGAGTTGGTGGCGGCCGAGGCCTCCCATTCTGTGACGAAGGAAGCGATTCTACGCTTCTTCCTTCCGCCACGAATTCAACGGACCGACTTAGTGATGCTCCTAAGCCATTTGACCTCGTTTCAGACATGACAAAGGAGTCAGGCTCCAACTCCCAAGAGGCATCGCTGAAGGGCATTAGGAAAAGGAATTTATCTTCCAAAAGCTAGTAGTGAATAACGCCTCACAAAAACGAAATTCGAAACAGAATACTACCGAAATCAGGGCTAGGTGGTACGTTAGTTTCCTGATTACTTAAAGCAAGTCCAACAAAACGATCGCGTATGGAAAACCTTTCTTCCTTAACAATAAAGTAAAGACAATTTGCATTAATGAAGCTTGTCTCGAGAATTTCTAATTATTCCTCTTCATAAAGTGGTTAAAAAAGACAAAAACCCAAACATCTCAAAATCCCTACGTTCAATGCATTGCACGCCAGAACTGCATGTGACACGGTAAAACGACCTAAGCTTCAACGGGAAGGCATTGATGAAATAATAATTGTGAAGTACGGGGATTCAATCAGTGAAGTTGCTCCACTTTAACATTAAGCCCATTGTCAAAGTTTACCCAATGCCGACAATCTATGTGCAAAATAGTATGCAATGAAGTAATTGGCTTAATCACTAAAATCTTGATGCATATGAATCGCCCATATGGCTCACAGTTTCGGTATAAACGAACCTGAGCTAATGGACAACAAGCTTTGGCATAAATCTCACCGATCAGGTACCCAGACGCCAAAATCAATGATCATGGGAATGAAGACG